AATCCAAGCCATTTCCCGATTTCATCCATGATAAGTAAGGACATTCCACATCACGTTACCGTATCACATGGACTGCATTGCAGGGTGTCTACAGGTAATGCTCCTGTTTTTCAGACAAAAGTGGTAGTTTCATCAAACATACCATGAAAACGTGTTGGTGTTTCATTACTTTGTTTGGTCAATATAGCACAGATCCATGGATCCAAAAGCCCACTTGGACAGAGTTGCGCTTTTTACTTTAACTGAATTGACTCCACTGGAAAAGACTCTACTGTCATGATTTTGTATTGAGTTAGTTCTTGTGAATAAGTGCCTTCTGTGGAAGTAAATAAAAATTAATTAATCAAAAAAAGTGAAAACGAACGACTTCTGCATTTTATGGAAAGAATGCTGATCTGAGAGTGTGTATTCCTATGATGCCAAGTGGGTACCATTTTGTCCTCAGAATGACATTTTGACAAAGGATTGTTAGGTTTTGAGTTCAGACGTTCCATTTGACATAGATGTGAAAGGTTTATTTCCCTGTGGTGTGATTTATTTGCTAGCACGTCGCGTTTTGACACAGTTTTGCAAAATGTGTTTAAGCAGTGGGCAAAAACTGTAACATGGATAAACACTGTTTTGTATTTGTTTTCATGTTGACAGTAAACACCGTACTTGAAATTTGGTTCCCTGTGTGTTTACAGAATTATGACAAATCTGTGACCTCAATGCAATGGCCTTCCATGTGCAGAGAGAAAGCAAAAGCAGATGCGTTTTTCCATTCTTCCCATTAATGTGTATTTGAGACATTGTGTGATTGGCTTTTGTAAATTGTCTGATACCAAAACACAATTTTTTCAATGGTTTGAAGAGTTAAGCAAGATCTTTTTGCTTTTGGAAAATAACTATGATGTTTTGCCATTTTGGTAAAAGGTTTTTGTGAAGAGTTTTGCAAAAAATAGCTGATAGTTAAGATTAAGCCATCAGGAAAAAAAATATAATCCCAAACACCTACCATATGTTCCCAATTAGATGTCCCCCAATTCTCCATTGGAGGACATTAGACTGGAGAAGATGTAAAGAGATGATACTTGACGCAACGATGGCCTTGTGTTCTGCCATTCGCGAATGAATGTGACACACTTGTTCCTACAGTATGTTCATCCTCAGTGTACGTGTAAAATTGGTCCTTCAAATATTTGTTTTCCTGTCCAAAATGTCAACAGTCAGACAAAGCTAAACAGGTTTTTATCAGGCGATTGTTTCTTTTTGGCAAGTTGGATGCGCTAGCGGGCACTTAAACTGTCTCCCAATTCAATTGTAACACCACTAACTTCAGCCTGATAATCCACTGCCCTGTGACATAATTTCTTAATGAAACACTTTATGGTTGCAACATTCCTGACTTTATGAATTGTTTTGAGTGTTTCACTTCATTTTGTTGTGTCAAACAAGCTTTGAATAGACACCATATCAGGTTGTGTGCCTAAGTCATGCCAAAGCCAGGAAAGTGTACTTCAGTCCGGCATAGAGCGTCGAGTGCAGCGGTCTCCAACCGCCGGAACTGGTCCACAGCTCATTTGGTGCCGGGCCGTACAGAAAGAATAAATAACTTACATTCCTTCCGTTTTATTCATTTCGGAAACTGAAAGATGTTTTATTTTGAAAAATTACCGGATTCTTTGTTATATCCGTCTAACGGCAGGGGTCACCAACGTGGGGCCCGTGGGCACCAGGTAGCCCGGGAGGACCACACCAATAGCCCGCCAGGGCTAGGATTGTGATTTGCTAGTTGAAATTATGATTTAAACATGCAAACACGGGCTGTATTGTGAGACATCTTTAAGGTGATCAGAGACTAAAAATTAAAATCATTCAGTAAAAATAACACATTCTAATATTATCACATGTAATTTGTACAAATGTTATTTCAGACGTGTATCAATTTGGTAGCCCTTCACACAATCAGGACACATTAAGTAGCTCTCACTCTAAAAAAGGTTGGAGAGCCCTGGTCTATAGTATGCCACTCTTGACGCAGGTGAATGTGCGCTTCTCGGTCACGTGATGGGTTACCACATAAAAAACAAACGTCTTCGAAAAGTTTTTACGGGAAGGGGAAAGGGCCCAGCCAGAAGACAGAAGAAGAGCCTACGACTTTCAAGAATGAGAAGGCTACATTTAATAGACAGCATGAGGAGTCCTATTTAAAATACGGCTTTATCTCAACGGGAGATTCACACGCACCAAGCCTACTCTGCATCATAAGCGGCGATGGTGAGTCGTATTTTTCATGCACTTTTTATTTGTGGCGTATCTTATTTTGAAGGCACGTTTAAATGCTACCATAGCGACCAGAGAATGTGGCGGCCACATAGGACGTTCCTCGTGTCATGATTCGTGTTTATTATTATGTTTCGAAAATGCCACACTTTTCATGCAGGTCATATCATATTATATTGTTGTATCTATCCGGCGTTAAAGGACGGTCCCTGAAAATATTGTCTGACATGATACTGGTCCGTGGGGTAAAAAAGGTTGGGGACCTCTGGTCTAGTGTATTCTGAATTTTGTGCAGGTGCAAGGCTCGCCTTGCTTGTTTGACAATTTTGGTGACCCGTCCGCGCTGCCAGCGGGGCATTCCGTTGTTGCAAAGGGTCCTTTTACATGCGCCCAGCGCAGCTGAAAATTTGGTGGCAGGAAGTCTATCGAACCTTATGCCTGATGGTACCATGTCCTCTGGTTGAACGCGATTTAGACAAATTTGATCAGGGCACAGCTGGACAGCTTCTCAGCTCCTCAAACATGTGCTGGGATGTCACTGTATTTCATTCATTAGTATTTGTATGAACTGCGGGCATCAAATCCAATTGAATTCGTGTGGGAATCACTTCACTGAATGTATTATTATTATCCGAGCTGCTTATCCTCACGAGGGTCATGGGCGTGTGAGGGCCGTGCCCTTGCTGTCTCGGAGCAGGAGGCGGGGTACACCCTGAACTGGTTGATGTTAAACCCAGGGCACACATTGACAAACAACAACCGTTCACGCTCACAATCAAACCGAGAGACAATTTAGAGTGTTCCATTCAACTTCCATGCATGTTTTTGGAATGTGGGAGGAAACCGGGATAGCCAGATAAACCCCACCGCAGGCATGGAGACAAGACGAAAAACTCCACACAGGAAAGGCGGAGCCGGAATCGAACCCTGCACCTCTGCTCTGTGAGGTGGACGTGATAACCAGTCTTCCACTGTGCCGTCCATTATTATTATTATCATCATTATTGTTATTTATTAATTCTACGACTGTGACATCACATGGTATTTATGTTTGTCGATGAGTCAGTTGCATCCTCCCAAAGCACAAATCCACATGCAAATTGACAAGTCTACTTTGGGCACTTGGAGTTATTTTTTTTTTGAATGATTAACATTTTTATTGAGGGCCCAAAAGAACTGTGGCGATTTTTTTGTCCATTCTGCACTCCCCGCAGTGGAGGACAGCAATGGTCATTTGCATAAAACAGGAGGCTGCTCACCAAAACTGGCTTCTTTCGAGAGGGCTGCGAAAGGTTTTGTATAGATGTTAAGTGTACCCGTATTTTGACTGAGATATGTTTAATGTCTGTGTAATATGAGGGATTGCATTATTTGTATAATAATAACATACAGCACATTGGCATCTAACCTCAATTAAAACCTCTCTCCACTACAACTACCATCCCCAATGAGTCACACCGTATGTCTGCTTGCTGTTTGGCATTGAATCTTAGAATGATTTTCAAAACATTTTCTGAAAGAGTGGTGGCTGCAGCAAAGGACCTTATGTACATGAACGCGACAAAGTGTCTTTTGAAGCCACAATCATGGTTAAAATATAAATTGCCTTCGCAATGAATGCTGAGTTCAGGCTCGACTTTTATCTTTTGTTTTGTTTGTTTCTTTTTAAATTCTCTACAGATGCAATGACAATCACAACATCAAAATTGTTCCAAAACTTACTGCAGGAGTACTGGGACACAACTCGTATGAGCAGCTGCCATAGGCAAATGAGAGGGCAATGGAATGTATGGCTTCTTCTTCTTCTTCTCCTTTCGGCACGTCCCTATTCAGGGGTCGCCACAGCGAGTCAGTAATTTCCATCCGCCCCTGTAAACCGTCCTACCAACTCGCATGGTCGTCTTGGCAAAAGTTTTACGCCGGACGCCATTCCTGACGCAACCCTCCCCATTTCTCCGGGCTTGGGACCGGCACTGGGGAACAGTGCACCCCCAGGGGAGGGCACTGCCCCCCAGCGGCTGGGTTAATGGAATGTATGGCTACGGTTTGAAAATCAGACTTGGATTTTGGATTTTTCGTGCCGGTGGATTCATTTTAGGCACAACAACTTTAGAACGTGATCACATCATTTTAACAAGTGACACACACACACACATACTGTACATTTACAATTTATGAGTATAGTGATACCTCATATTTGTTTTCTTTCACTTTTTATCTGATGGTCATTTCTTGCCCTAACTACCGATCACGCACGAGCCTACACGCGAGTAAACACACACACACCCACACACACACACACACACACACACACACACACACACACACACACACACACACAATATACTTTAAGAACTTTTGTTTGTGACGGAGACGCAAATCTACTATAATCGATAAATATTTAGGTGTGCGTAAAACGCAACCACGGTTGTGTGCGACGGCCACTTTGGACGACAAAAACGCCAAGGATGAACAGCAGCATTAAAGAGGAATACGAGACCAACAGCAACATTCAAGTGTCTACTTATTCACTCAAATGCACATTAACGTGCACCATTCCAACAGCTTACTCGAACCGTTTGCGCGTAAAGTGACTAAGAGTAACTTGGGCTTCTTTTCTCTCCAAGTCCCCAAATTCTAATTGGACTACATTGTAGAAAGTGCCATTGCCAAGACCACCTGTCAGCAGCATGATATCCTAAACTATTACGCACAAGAGTGCGGCGCGAGCTCACCTGTGGAGAGTAAATCAAAACCGCTGGTGGCAAGGAAGGGAAAAGTGGCTGAGAGGTGATTGAGATCCGCTCCAGTGTTCGTCAAGTAGGTGATCCGTTTTCTTCCGGAGATTGGCACACGCACCGCGATGTGCACCGCTTACTGCCGCTGCTGCAGACCAAAACCTCTCAACTAGTATGAGGGTGAGGGAGGGGGAGAGGGAGGGACAAAGGAGGGAGGGGGGTGAGAGAGAGAGAGAGAGAGAGAGAGAGAGAGAGAGAGAGAGAGAGAGAGAGAGAGAGAGAGAGACAGGCACACACACACACGCACACACGAAGTGTCCTGCACCGCAGACACACAAGACACACGTTGATTATTCGGGTGTCCATGTATGGAGGCTTTTTCCACTTCTTTTTTTGTGTGTGTATTTCACATGAATTGGATAGGTTTTGTGTCAACCAAATTAGGTATTGTATTTACTGACATGGTCCAGTGCAGTTGTTCTTACAATTTTTTTGCACACAAAGTGCTGCCCTCAATAAATTCTTATCTCCCAAAGTACCACCAGCATGACCGCCATTAAAATACAATGGCACTGTGGGCAATGGTATGTTATAGTAGGCAGCTAAAATGCTATGCACAGCTTGAACATCAACACTACACTTGCATGTAGAAAAAGAAAGTACTTACAGAATAATTCAGTTAAAGTATTTTGCATTTAACATCCATCCATCCATTTTCTGTGTGCGTGCTGGAGCCTATCCCAGCTGTCTACGGGCAGTAGGCAGGGTACACCCTGAACGGGTTGCCAGCCAATCGCAGGGCACACGTAGACAAACAACCATCCACACTCACACTCACACCTAGAAACAATTTGGAGAGTTCCATTAACCTGCCATGCATGTTTTTGGAATGTGGGAGGAAACCGGAGTACCCGGAGAAAACCCACGGCATGGGGAGAACATGCAATTCCACACAGGAAGGACAGAGCTGGAATCAAACCCTGCACCTCTGCACTGTAATTGCATTTAACAGTTAATGTAAATAAAAATTGTACTGCACCCTCAAATATATAGTTTAATTACAACATTGATCCAGCCGTTTTAATGGTGGATAAGTAACTGGTTAAAAATCACTAGTTTGAAGAAAAACACGTTGTACGAAAAGAGTTAAATACTGTACAGCTAAACTCTATTTAGGCAGTGATTCTTTTCACATACCACCGAAGAGGGCCTGCAGACCTGACTTTGGGTGAGAAGCAGGGTACACCCTCGACTGGTTGCTCACCAATCACAGGGCACATACAGACAAACAATCATGAACACTAACAGTCACCCCAGCAGCAAAGATAAGATGCACGTATTTGGACTGTGGGAGGAAGCCGGAGTAAGGGGAAAACATACTGCACAGCTTTTTTTTTTTTTTTTCCTGCCTGAATTGGATTGTCACCATCTAACCACCACACCAGACACAATCATTTATAGCCAACAAGTCATCAAACAGTCACACCAAAATGTTATACTGCGAATCAGCTTATTGATTAACTGGCTATTTCATTACCACTATTGGGAGGAAAGGCAAATCCATCATTTTTACTTCTTAATATGTTTGTCTTTTAGAAGGTAGGTGCAGTTGGTAATATTTTGACGACCTTGAGAATATGACATTCAACATTTCGAGGTTCGAATGACGCACAATGAACTAGTTTTTGCTGCAGAGTAAGACTACACAATCACACAACAATCGGGAAGTGCACAAGAACACAGTCCTAGTTGCTTCCGCTATTACTGGTTTTGATTTGATTATTTTACATTAAAATTTGTTGTCTGCAAAGGTAATTATGACTTTACTACTAGGGTTAGCGAAGGTTAATGATAGACTGCGGCATGTCCAGACTCACATACAAATTAAATGTGCTTTTGCTCTCAAAGGAGGGGACAATCGACTGTTACAACATTGCTGTTATTCAACTTCTCCTGGTTTTTGCTGGTGACCATTCTGTTCAGTCACCAGTCACCAAATGCAAGACTAATGTTCATTCAAGTTTTTTTGTTTTTTTTCATTTGTATAGCCCTCACTCACAAGAGTCTCAAAGGCATTCATTCACAGGACCACAGCTGACGATTGGCAACATCCCATGATTCAAACCTCCAACTGGGCAAGGAAAAACTATATATGTGTGGAGTTTGCATGTTCTCCCCGGGCCTGCGTGGGTTTTCTCCGGATACTCCGGTTTCCTCCCACATTCCTAAAACAAGCATGGCAGGCTGATTGAACACTCTAAATTGTCCCTAAGTGTGAGTGTGGGCGTGGATGATTGTTCGTCTCTGTGTGCCCTGCGATTGGCTGGAAACCGATTCAGGGTGTCCCCCTCCTACTGCCCGAAGACAGCTGGGATAGGCTCCAGCACACCTCGCGACCCTCGTGAGGATAAAGCGGCTCGGAAAATGAATGAATGAATATATATACACGCACACACACACACACACACACACACACACACACACACACACACACACACACACACACATACACACACATACAGAAACACAGATGTCAGCGGTTTATTGTGTCATTTAAAAAAAAAAAATTAAAATGTCAAAGAATCCCAAAATGGTCTGGGCTACGAGGGTCCTTCAAAGTTGTTTGCAGCTCTTGTTCTTTTTTTTTCTCACTGTCTTGCTGTGAACTATTAAGCTCAAAATACTGTCATTTCCCGATTGTTGCCAACCATTAATTCCACACTCGTCCCTACAGTCTCAAATACAAGACGAAAAACTTGTTGCTTGAATGCTCTTGCTTTTAATGAGGAATTAAAACAAAAATTGTTTTCCCCCTCCCCTCCCCAGCTTTACAGTTACCGTTTTGATGATGCATACGACCATGCGACTCTCAGTCGGTTGGGTTGTTGTTCATCCCCCTATATATGAAGGCTCATTTACCTTGTGTTCAGCCTGGTTCTCTCCTGTGAGTCCAACGAAATCTGTCACACTTGAACCAAAATGAAGTGTCGTTCAAAAACCATTCAGACACCAGATTGAGCTAGTTCTCAAAAACATTCATCTGTCAGAAATGCACTACATTCAACTCACGTTTGCACAAAATTTGAACAAGTTCATTAACTTTTGTTCAGTGAATTCATTCAGGTACAACACTGTACCTCAAGTCACCAAGCTTGGCACCATACAGTTATCGGGGAAAACACAAGCATTTTAGCAGATCATTAAACAAAATGATCTTTCCCCTCACACCCAGACGCACAAATTGCGTTCTAATCAACTTTTACAGCATGGCATGGATGACTACATTTTTACACAGAAACCACAAGCGTACACAGCAATGTTTTCCGCACAGGCGATATGGTGCGGATTATTTATGTTGCACGATGTTTGCCTGTTCTCCCCGTGCTTTCCTGGTTTACACCCACATTCTAAACACATGCGTCTTGGGTTAATTAAAGACACTCAATTGTGCATAAATATGAATGTGAGTCTCCATAGTTGTTTGTTTATATGTGTCCTGTGATTGTCTATCGTCCAGCCCTTCGCCCAAAGTGGGTTGTGATAAACTCAGGTTAGCATGTGACCCTAATGATGGTAAGTGGTAGAGAAAATTGATGGATGGTTTGACATTACGTTGGACTTGTCAGAAGTTGATCAATATGGAACTTTTTGCATTATTTTGAAGGACAGCCAACAGAAAACTATTGGATGACATCTGTTTTTTAATTGATTCATGCATGCATTCACAAATCCTGCACTTGATTAATTTTATGAAAATCCTATGTATGTTTGCGTGAGTCATACCTGTCAATGGTAAAATGGGCTTTCACTTGTATAGCACCGTTCCACCTACAATGCGTTCAAAGCGCATCACATTGACTCTTCTTTCAACTACTGATGACACTGCATCAGGAGCAACTGGGTGGGCTCAGTACCTTGCCAAGCTGCTCAAAATGGTCACAAGGGTCAAGGATCGAACTCACAACAGATGGGTTGGGACACGACCACTCTACCACTCCCCGTATGAAGATTTAGTAAGATGGATGCTCCAGACCGCTTGGCCAGGTCATCATGAAACCTCAATCTAAACGAGCCTTTTAATGATCCATGCATCCATGATCTGAAGCGCTTATCCTCAAAAGAGTTTGGGGGCGTACTGGAGCATATCCCATCTGACTTCAGGCAGTAGTCAGGTGACACCCTGAACTGGTTGCCAGCCAATTGCAAGTCTTTAAATTTGCTGCTTACATAAAGGTTGAATAAATATAATTTTCAAAAATGTGCAGTTCTCAACAGCAATGCTTCCAGCAATATTAGCTATAGACCCACAGTTAACTCTTCTTCAAACAGCCGACAAACATACCAACCAGCTGGACTACATAATGGAACCTTTTGCAATTAATGGGGTAAATATTTGAGGTGATTTACACCAAATCAAACCAAATAGTCATTGGATGCCAAAAAAAGCCATCTGAAAAAACAATGTTTCCTCACGAGTCACATTCTTGTGTCCTGTTGCCAAGTGGCCACTACCTAGAAGGAAAAAATATATATGGACACGACACATTTCACAAAAGGTTTAGGGAATTTGACGGTGGGTTTCTGCAGTGCCTGCCATCCGTAATATGTGCAATTAAAATATAGCTTTTGTTATCCACATTGTCATGAAAATGTGTCTGAAAGCAAACCATTCAGAATTTTGTGCAATTTTGAGTTGTGCTCCATTTCACTGCATGTGCCACATGCACAGATTGGCACACCCCATGACCCCGAGTTAGCGTAGCCAACCTGGGAACTGGCTCCATAGTTTTTCGGGCAGGACATGTCACAACTATACCAGGAAGACATCAAGCAACTGTTTTAAATTGTGAAAAAAAAATACACCTCCTTCAAGGGGGAAGTCAAGTCAAAAATTAGCTTTACAATATATTCTACGCGCCCCCCACTAGTCTAAACACGGAATTCTTGCGAAAGTCACATGACCAAACCCAGAGAATAGGTGAGCCATCACATTCGTAACCTCACACTCTGATGTCATTTTCGGTTGACAGCAAGTGGCAGTTCAAGGCAGATTAGTGGTGGCGCATAGAACATATATCGTGAAAAAAAATGTTTGACTTGACTTTCGCTTTAAAGGTCCAACTCAAATGATATATTAATAAATGAGACTTATCAAGGGTGGCACTTCTAC